AGTCCGTACCGCAAAGAGAACACAACGGATCGCCATTAAAAGATCGCCTGATTAATGCTATTAAGGGAAATAATCAGTGAGAATCATACGATACCCATAAATACACTATGCTCTGTGGGCGAAATTCATCTGGAACTACTCGGGGACACGACTACTGAGGTACTCCTAGCAATCCAGAATTCAGGAGACCTGAAACAACGCAGGAAAACGGCAACCCCATACTTTTATTAAGGCTTAATGAACTTCCATATTTGAACGGGAACCCGATAATGCGCTTAATTTTAATCTTGTTCTCCAAGTGGAATTGTTGCGGAGCGGAATCCAGAGGGCGGTGGGGGGTCCTGTCAAGAGGATCCGAGCCTGCAGTAGCTACTACCCGCTTAACAAGTTCTACCACAGCGTTATCAGCCGTTCTGCGCGTACAGGGACCAGACGTTTTACAACGGACGTCAACAAAACCGAAATTTAATAAGAACAGGATCTGAGGTTCACACGGCGGCGAGGGTCGACAACTGTCTTCTAGGTCCTAGCGGCGTACCTGCTGCCTCCATCATCGGGGCGATGAGTGGTGATGGTGGTAGCAAGTATCCCTGAAATGTAGGCAACTTCTCCCAGACTACACGCCGCTAGAAGACATTCATCTCTACAAAGATAGTTCTATTTTTATATTCTTAAAAGAACTGTATCAACTGATGTGGCTGCTATTGGTGTTATTATTTATTTGTTGTGTAACAACGTACTACACCTAAGAAGGCTGAGAGGTGACTATTCCACATTCGACGTTTTAACAGTGATAAATCAACAAGATTTTAAGATATCACTTATAAATTAGTTATTAGTAAAGATATTTGCATTAATGTTAATATATAAACAACGTATGTTCCAGTCGGAGCGAAAGAATTAAAATTATTAAGAAATTTGTTAACTTCAGGGTTGTCTTGATGGGGAAGGGGGAGTCTCTCACCGGTAAAAAAATAATATCCAACCCCCTAGTTTAGAATGAGCATGGTCTTAGCAGGTTTCCAGAAGGTAAATAATTGTGGGAAGCTATGAGACATGCAATCCAATAACTAATAACGATTCCATACTCGAAACTATGATGTGTTTTGTGGACCTAATGTGGACAGTTGTCAGAGGTTCCAGGCTGAATTAACTACACCTGACAGAATTCCTATGACCCAAAGAACTTCTCCGATCCTAAACGTCACAGAAGTACACGTTATCATCTGTTATAATCACACAAGAGAGAGGATCCTAATGCATCATTTACGTCAATCGATTGTGTTGCCTAGAAAAATTAACCTCATTATGACAATGAAGCCCCTAAACGAAGTACAATGAACATTAATGGGTTACTAATTTTGGTTATTATTATAGTTTTCATTAATATTCAAACCTCGTTTTATTCCCGGTGCGTCTGTAAATGTCATGTTTGCTGCTGTCAAGCAATTCAGTGATTTCATTTAAGTGAATGATTGTATTCTCTCAGTTTTACGTGTTCAAAATTTGGTCAAGAAACCACACAGTTCGTAGGTCTAAGTTATTTACCACACTAAAGTAATTAATTAACTCTGTGGTCAAAATGAAAAATTTACCGATTATTAAAGCAGGTGGTTCACACTTAGTACTGGGGTTCAAAGGTTTAATGCGTCTCTAAAAATGTAACTGACTCATTAGCATATCACTTTAGTAAAAAATACTCTGGAAGAGAATAATTCAAGGGCATACATACGACATCTGTAACAAATGTGTGTTGCAACTTCCGCCACACTGTTCCGGTGGACTGGCAAATGATATTTCGATACGCCTGAGCGTGCTATGAGAAACGAAGTGTTTGTGGGCGCCTACAATTTAGTGTCACTAACATTTACGCTCCTGTCAACGACTAGAACATGGTTGCCCACGTCCCAAGCACACAGTCATTACTGCCAGTCTGCCTTGACATTCAACAGCTGTCAGAACGCCAATGCGGGGGAGGGGGGGGGCACACGTTTCATCACAATTTAAAACTTCACAAAGTTCCATTACAGAAACGTAAAATTAGTTTACTCAAACAGAAAGCTGATCCTGACCCAATGTGAATTTTCAAGTAGTACCCCACCCGTCACGAATGAGACTTTGGATAACTTTTGGAAATAGTTTAATTTGAAGACCCACAACAAAAGAGAAGATAACATGAAGATGGGTCTAAGAGATAGGTTTTGGAGATCGAATTTGGATGGAACTAGGTTAGGAATGCGGAATGTGCTACACTATTAGTGGTTTTGAACGTTGGGATTCTGCTAACATCGGTCTTTCGCACGTAAGAACCACTAAGCACACAATACATCTTCTATCTGTCTCTCGAAAGAAATATTCAAAACACATCTCTTTCTTCTGGGAAGGCTGGGTTGTCATGTTCCTTTTGAGTTGCGTGATTTGATTTTTAATAGATACCTATGGAGTTGTGAATAAGCACATTAACTCAAACGACGTAAAATCCATTTATAAATCCATCAACAGATTCCTTGGATTGTAAAAACGCACAGAAAAAACAGGCCCAAATCTTCCGTGCCGTGTTATTCCAGCAAATGCCTGAAGGGTCTCGGGTAAAATAGAACGCCGTCAGTCCGGACGAGAAACTCGTCTTCCACAATGACATGCTATTTCTTCCTTGTTACGGTGACTGACTTTACACACGTATTTGCCAAATGAGATCTGGGAGAGCAGGAAAACGAAAAGCAAAGCTTGTTATCCGTTCATTCCATCCTTCTTTCCAATACTAAAAATAACGGATCTCAGTTCTGTTTGTTTCCGTAGTTTCTAAAAACATGTACATAAATCGCATATTGGAGATGACTTTTCATCCGACTACTGAAAAAAAAGATGGTCATTTGCTAACGGGAGTAAGTTGTGGTGAGAACAATTGCATAACACTAACTCGGTGTCCTACCCAAAGGCGGCCGTTAGTGTTAATGACACTAAAACTTCCGAGTTTTGATACCACAAAAGGAAGGCGTGTAACTACTGTTGTATCATTTGAAGTTACTGAGATGGTAAAGAAGTGAATTCGGGTTATTATCCTCTGCGCATGCCTCGTACAAATTATATTGTTCTTTCGCGGCGAGGCAGGCAAAAATTAGGCTTAGCATCAGAAATCGTAAGTGCCACATTTATAAAAACGTAACAATGAAGCCCTGGTGATAGAGACAGTAAGCAACTCTGAAACGTCGGTAAATTTCTGCGAAACTAAACGGCGCTACATCACGTAAGATATATTTTCGGAAAAGATTTCTTTCGACTGGATACAATTTCTTCTGGGATAGTAACACCAAGTTTATTACCAAAATTAACAGGTTTTGTAGAGTATTTTATTCCAGAAAAATTGTCCTGTAACACAGGATATCTGGGTTGCGTCACCGTGTAGCCTTGAGGATGGTTATGAATCTTGCGGAGAACCATATTACCTTCGTAATTTAAACTGACAATGGCGGTCACACTTTTCTCCAAAACGTTTACGAATACCTATAAGACCACAAGTCGTCACAACCCATAAAACAATCAAAAATTTCACCGCCGCAAACACCTCAAATCTCATGTAAGATATCGTGTCCGTAAACTGAAGATCCCTCTTGAAAGTTGTACATGGGTGGACAGTAATATCGGTCTTAAATATCAACTACATTAATCGGCTTAGGATAGTAATCAACTTACGGGCTGCATAAAAGACGAGTTTCTCGAGTCGCTGAGCAACTACAAGTGTCTCAACAAGGACTCTGCTCCACAGGGTAAGACTAGAAAAACAGTTCTTGCTTAATATGAACCTCGTTAGCATGTATTTCACAAATTTATACTAAACCAGTCTAAACATATCTTGTGACGTCGTTTAATTTAAGAAGCCTAGTCATAACTTTTTTTGTAACAACCATAACATTCAGTGTGGAAGAAATGGAACTACATACAAGAAGTCGACTCATGGGCTAAATTCAATGTTTATGAGGTTAATGGCCCAGATTTATTAACTCACTGACTCATTTCGTTCACTGTTTGTGTCTAGAAATAAACGCGAAGTGTGTCGCAGGACGCTAGCTGTTGGTCCCACGCACACAACGTGTCCTGTTCTGAACATAATGACACATTAATAGGGTACGCCTAACAGTCTTTGTAAATTTGTCTTCTGTTATCCCGGGGATGTCACTCTTTTGACTATTTGCTGCAGCAGATAAAGCGGCCAACAATCCATAATGTACAACACAGTATTTACAATATCCACGCAGATTACTTTGGGCTCTTTCTAAAAATGTTCTGCATCTCCGTGTGCACTAATTTTTATACAAGGAGAAATTTTAAGAAAATGTATACGCTCATTCAAACGACATGCAAAAAATACGGGATCCAAAGGGCAGATATCGACCAAGATAAAATTACCTTGGGAAATACTGGAGCAGATTCCCACAGCACCAAATTTTACCGAAACCCGTTCAGCAGATTCGAAGAAGAAAACTTCGACACCTTCATCGCCGTGAAAACCTCAAATATCATCGGTTTACAGTTGCTTGGCATGCTAACAAATAATCCGGTAAGCAGACTCACATCTGCATGTGACTTACCTCGAGGCAACACTTTCCGTGTTCTCGTGGGCTCAGAAAGAAGGTTCCGTCCACCAGAGGATAGCGGTCGAACACCAGCATTGGCGACTGGCAAAGTACACAAGCCACGCGAGAAGTGTGCAAAGCTGCCAGCGTTGACAGGATGAAGCATCGGGTGTCGTCGTTGCCATGGTTACCTTCATCCTCCATCTGCAAGATGCAACAGACAGAATTCAGAATAATACGTGGAGCTTTCCCTGCCGCCAATCCTCCAACACCAACTTCGTGACTTTCATTACTTTTACCTTGGCGATCAGATCAACTCTCCTGAAGCTCTGTACGTTAACAGCAAGGAAAGTTGGGCCTATACTAAGACACGTCTAAAGCGGAACCTGTATTGAACGGAAATATAACTTATTTGCAAATTTCTCTGATCATGAAAAATATTGAAAAGTAAGTACCCAAAGAAAGAAGTTACAAGGATAAGCAGCGCTGTAATTCATTTTCGAAACTATTTTTCGTGCATGCACGTGGTTTCATTTCCAAAATATACAGTCAGATTTAAGAAGCCGTCTCGCAAACGAGATGAACTTTGTCTGCGCCGCTCTTAGAGACATAAAAGCCAGTAGCTAAAGAACAGTCTTGACACGTGCAGCAGGATGGTACTGGAACAGCGTAAATTTTGGCACCAGACAGCGAATATTTCCGATTTACGAGACATCGTCTTCATATGTAGTGCAGGAACAACCTTTCACATCTCTCACTTTGCACGGAAAGTAATTTCCGTATCTGGGATTTTAGGTGTGTGGTGTGGTGTGACCTGGGCTACGGGGCCTTGCGGTTCAGTAAGTGATTAACACTTTATGCAATAACGATTAAATCACACAGAAGACAACACGGCGTTATAACCAACAACCGACAGCTTCCAAAACGTCGACAAGTCTAAAACCTGCTCTTTAAAATTAACACCACTACTTGGATTACTTTGTGAAAAGACTTTCCTAATATTCATGACAAATTATTTTCTCTGCTATACGCGTAAGTTATCTTGGGAGTTGCCCTCCTCATAGTTGACTCTCGTTCTTATCGGCCGCATCGTCCCGCCATCAGGCGTTCTACCGACTGTTTTAAAAAAAAAAACGTCTCTACAGGCGATCACAGACCCGATAATCTCCCTCTCGTTATTGCGAATTACTTCGTTATTCTGCTTGTGCTGTTGGTGTTAGCCACGTGACGCCACACAGAACACAAGCTGTCGAAGGATCGGGGCGGAGCAAATGTTTCCTACCAGACTCGTACAGAAGAAGCCTTCCGTTCCAACCATGCTCCCCGAATTTAAAACCGAGGAGCCAGCAGCATTTCGTGGGGCGCTGTATCCACATGACTACTGGTTTGCCTTCAGCCTGGTGGACGGAGGAACGAAGAGGCATGCAATGCTCCCGCTGTGCCTACCAAACAGGTTCTCTTTACGGACACCTGCAATCACTCTGTCGTTGCAACAAAAATATAACTTGTGCTTTGTCTGTCCTAGAAGATATCCACTGGTCCATAAACATGCATGGTTTCACAGCGCCCGCCAAATCCGGTTCCAAGTATAAAAACTGCACTTAAAATGTCATAGATCCAAAGGCAGTGAAGATTATTCGTAATCGTAGGTTTATGAGGGAGGGGAAACCACTAATTCTTCCCGCAATCTGTCTTCCAGTTGCAATGCCAGTTACTAGAAAATCTCGTAGCTGTCTGGAGTTGGTAGTCCTACAACCTTCGAGTCTGATTGTTCAACTTATAAATTATCCACAAGGAACTGAAGACTAGACTTTGGAATTAATTCGCAGTTGTTCGTTTGCCCAGTTACAGAATTTAGGCCTCAAACTTGGTCCTACTAACTCCACGTTGCAGAGACCTTGAGAAACTGATAGTCGCTAACTGGTCAAGAAATTTCCTCCTGTTCACATGAGTCCATCATAACCGGTCCCCATCCCGGGCGAGTTAAAACTAGCTCACTCTCTCATCAATTATATTTATTATGCATAGAATACTAGTTACTTTTCGGGATCACAATCTACAGCGTGTATGAGATAAAAAAGTAGATGACATAAATTTCGTAAAAGGGTAGAAGTGAATATTTTGCTGGCCGCTTAAAAGGTCTTACTTACGAAATAATTGAAAGTCATTATAAATGTTAATATTTTAGAGGGCATTTTGGAATACGCAGTACTACGGTGCTGTGATTGTCAATTTGGTTAAGCTTGTTACATTGCATTTGTGCTTTTGCACTGATTTTCATAGAAACAAAAGAAGGACTTCTGAACAGATTCGGGTTGTAGCCGTTCAGATGTTTACAGAAATCAGGTTCTCTTAACGTGCAAGAGGCTTGTCGTACTCCACTAAAGGGGCACGAACTGTAGAGGCGGTCGGAAAGTCGCAGGACCGCACAAACTGATTTGTGATTAAAATAACTTGCTAAACAAGTTAACAAGTCAAAAGGTGTTGAAAATCAATTGACCGACCTCTGTCGTTTACCTCCCCAGACAGTAGATATTTCAGCGAGACGAAATCTGCAAATATAAAACTACTTACAAGAATGACGTGTATCTATACATGTCCTACATCATAGATCACAAATATAGTTGTAAAATAGAAAATCCTCTAATTCATTAAGTTATATGGACTATTTCGGTAAGAAGGTCAAACATTGTTTTGGCTTAAGCCCTTTTTACCGCGCGCCAAATTACGTAAACACTTGTTTATAAAATAAATCTAGTCCAACTGGAATTTTCGGACCGACAAGAACTGAGTCCGTCGCTTGGGAAACAATGCTTCACAGGGAGGAAAGGAAATTATTACAAAACTGGTTGAACGCATTTAAAATTCACCGGTGCAACTAGTCCCCCAATCCTGAAGAACACTGGAACGGCTGTAAGCAATTCCAAGTTTCCTATTTGGAACCCAAGACACGTGACGAACAAGAGAGACAGTTCACTGCACAGAAACAAGAGCGATCATGGGATTTTCTCTTCCAGCGCGTGACGTCATGTCACCCGTCGTGACCCAGGGCAATTTTCAGCTGACACATGAGTTACCCGCATGATAAGACATTTTACGCAGTCACATTAGATTCAATGAAGACCTTTATTTATCTGTTTCGGCCAATAAATTGTATGCCACCCCACCACGTAAATAACTAGCTTATTTTCTTGATAACTTTCGAATTGAGTCTACTGCTGACTTTAGCTGTGTATCGAATTGTGTGGCATCACAAGATATTATTAAAAAAGCCTCTGGTTGCTGGGTTTTTTTTAACGAAGGATCAGTTGCTTAATGCGCTAATACGCCTTTCGGACTCTGGCAATCGGAAATAAGTTCTTTTTTTCAGAATGGAGGCAGTAGGTTCCTCCGTTTAGGGTGTAACCACCTACAACCCGAACACTATCATTTTTTTTTTCATTTTCTCTTGTCTTTTCCACTCTTCACTTATTATATTCATTCTCCCTTCCTCGGCCCCTTTGTTCTTCTCTGTCTTCACCTCCTACTCCGAGAGCGGATGTAGCGTCAAACCGCTCAGTAGCAGCTAGCGTGCTGTTGTTACTATTAGCAACAAACTAATTCCATGAACGTAGCTGGTGGTTTATTGCAAACTCACTTTTACATGGAGCGGCCTGTAGACCGAGTGAGTCATGGGTACGAAGCTATTAGACCAAAAAGCTGTGTGGAAAGAATTCCAGTACACAATTTTTATAAAATATTTACCAATCTTATAAAAATACCACGTAACCAAATGTAACCTGACCGAACAGAACCTAACCTAAGTTAAAAGAGAGACCAAATTTCACACCCAACACAAAATAAAAAGTACGATATGTTTTTTTATATAAACGTCACGATCTTAAACGGCAAAACAAAAGATTAGATCTTATGTAGTCAGAAAGAATATTTTTGAAAGGGTTTGTGGCGATAAATGAATTTTTACTTCGGCGAGGGACTGATTTTCGATGACCTCCAGACCGCAGTAACTGGCGGCTTGTTACACAATTACATGTTGAGTTGCTTTTCTTCGTAAACAAGTAACTAGATAATGCAATGACGTAGAGAAATCGTGGCATTAGTCACGTACTACGCATTCAGATCCAGTAAAAAGCTCTCAACAGCCATCTGTAGATCTGTGCCCAGGATTAAATAT